GATTCACATATCAACATGATGAAATTAAAATTAATTTTTTTTATTTTAGTGATATAAGTGATCGATGAGCTTGAAGGATTAATCTTGTATCAAGTATTTCTTAGATACATGATATAAGGGATACTTCAACTAAAAATGCAAGTGGCTAGATGATTAAATGTTAAGTTGGGAGGATCAACATTAAATCGAAAAATATGATATTGAGCTAAAAAATCGAACATCAAAATAAATAAATTGGTCAATATACCAAAAGATCGATCGGCATGTTAGATGATCGATTGACATACCAAAGATTGATCGAGGCTTCGATCAAAATTAACTAGGTTATAATTAAATTATAAATAAATTAAAAATATGACTTAATTAGACACTGTTAAATAAGGATCATATTGAGCTAAGCCAGTATATAGGTTGAATTGAGCTTTAATCATTGGTCATACATCTTGACATGGGATACTTCTATTTTTAATGGAGGTGCTTGGGACCTCTTTCTATAAACACCTGGTAACATTGTTAAGTGCAAACTTTTCATATGAGATTCTAAGTGATACGGTATATTTTGGCAGTCTGAACACGTCACAACCGACACAACACGCCAAGTCAGAGTCCTGCGCCACACGTCCCATCCCGGGAGCTCAGGGCGATGCCGTCTGATGCACCATTAGCCTTCGTGCAATAGTATAAAATCCTTGGCTGGCCTCCGGCCAGGGAAGGGGGAGAGGAGGGGAGAAAGAAAAAAATAATCCCTCTCATTACTAACTTGCTCGTTGGAGGGGCTACGGTCGGATACCACCCGACGGTGACCATTTTACAGGAGGGCTACCACTCATCGACGGTGAGGGACTCGGCACGGGAGCACGACTCGCTCGACACCAAGGAGTCGCCAATCAGCCCCGATCCCGACCAACGCCAACCAACACTCCTTTCCGAGAGCTCGGGTACCTTATCATCCGAATCACCCTACTAACTTCCCAGCGACACATTTGTTCACCACACTAAGGTTCTAAAATTTTGGTATCGTCGACAACCTAACAGGTTTTCTGTTAATTAATATCCCCCCACACATATTGAAGACTTCAGATCAGGCATTCTATTTTGCTCACCTACAACACAAATTCCCCACTACGATAGAAGGACATCTCTCGCTCCCAATGCATGAGGCTCACGTGAATGGAAATAACGCGTCTCTTTAATACAGCCTCCTCGCACAAGGTGGATGCGCACTTATGACGCACGCTTCGGACCGCTCCTCGGTGGATCTTACACCGCCCACTTTGAACTCGCACAAGAGCACCAACGAGATGATATTTCGCATGCACACTCTGATCCCCCGGTAAATGTTCTTCCTATCAAATCCTATCATATGGAGCAAAATTCATGGAGCTGCTTGGATAATATATGTACATGTCCATTTGCTTTGAGCCTATTTGTCAAGGGGATCCTTGCAAAAGCAGCAGCGTCATGCAGTGCCTGCCATCAATGCATCCCCAGTCCATGGGAATTTGAACTCCCAGTGGACGTCTTCGCAGTACTAGAAGAAGTCATTCTTCTTTTGGATTCCTTCTTACTCCACCCGGTTGTTGAGTTGCCCCAAAATCATGGAAGGACGATAGCAGCAGCGCAGTGGGGTCTGCCTTCGTTGTCAAGCAAATGCCATGGTCTCCATCTGCTTCTTCCCGCATTAAGAAACCTTTTGGTCCACGGCGATGATGTACAGTGATCCAAAGAAATCCCACCTTGTTTATCCTCCGCTCTCGCTCCTCTTTTACTGTAGCACCCACTCACATGTGGACTTCATCAGCGAGTAATACACGAGTAGGTCAGAACGGTGCTTATAGAACATATATTCAATCTGCTAAGGGACAAACCAACCTTACTTTATCCCATTTGATTTGGTTCCTCATCAAGCGACTTTTAGCGAGATACTATTGATTCTCTTCTCCTTTTGTTAACATCTCGAAGACTCGTGTTTCATCTTCCCAAAAGATAGCTGTGATCCAACGAGTCCACTGGCCCACACTTGTCTTGGATACTTTTTGGTGCTCCACTGCTGATCTCTGGATAAGAATATATAATAGAAACCTATTTCTTAGACACCCTCCCTCTTCAGCCCTGGACATGTCTAAAGGAAACCATAGAGGAAGCATGACCTGCACTCCGCCTGAGCTTGGATTATTCAGACAATACACGTCGAGATATCACGCCAGTTAGGAAGCACGAGGAAGAGGAGAAAGAATAAGCATGATGACTGCATCAAGGAATGTAAACGACAAAACCGACGGTTTTCCTTTGAAGGTTGGGATTGGAGCAAATAACCCATCATGTCAAGGTTTGCCCCCCTCCATTGTCCCACTCAAACAGCAATTCTTGCAAGTTCTTGAAATCGACATCTTTTGTTTCGGCCAGAAGCTCCACTCGGGAGAAAACCAATCGAGTGTAACTATGCCTACCGACTTCCGCGTATTCACAAGAGGGTCTTAACTATGGTTTTGTATCTTTATGCCGTCTTGAGTACGTAATATCATCAGTACGGTCTTTGAGCTGAAACGTTTTAACATGAGGTCTGATTGAGGGGGCGTGGGTCTCGTTCTCCTATGTGTTTAGCTGTCCGTCGAGTACTTGCACACAGTTTAAAATCCAAAGAGGGATTTTTGAATGTTTAAGTTAGCATGAGTTAGAGACGAGAGAGTTGGAGTGTCTGTCTCCGGTCCGACCCCTAACGCTTATTCATTGGAGTAGTTTTTATATATGTTGCTATATGTTGATGTATGTAGTTGTTAATGATAATCGACGTATTTGTACGCAGGTGTTTAAAGGTGTCATCGCCATGGATGGTCAGCTCATATGCTGAGACGCAGGCGCATTATGATTTGTCCAACCCTGCTTCATTTGATGTTGCTCTGTGTCTCTGAAGTAGCTCAAGACAGGGTTACACCTCTGTATACCCTCGAGTGATGTTGGTGCAATGTGCTGATGACGTGGATGGTAGACGACTACCTTGTTCAGATCCTGAGTGTCGAGATGACTCGGTGTGACACGTTAGTCTTGAAACATCGTGTCAGATTCTATATGACAATCGATATATCCGTGAAGTAGATACTAGAATATGCTATATCAACTACGATAGCTTATGAATATTTGAAGAGCTTGCACAGTATTTATGGGCGATATCGAGCATCGAGCTACGCTATCTATTTTTCCTACCATCTTTCTATCTCCTAAGCTAAAAGCGACTGTATTGTTTGGAAGTGAACGCAACTCGAAACTACAATGTCTGCAAACCGATGTGTTCTTGAGAAATTATTATTGTTAGGATTTTACGAATATTATTATTGTATTAAATAGACCTTCGCCCATGCTACGTAAATTCAATGCATCAAGCTTTTTTTTTTTCCCTCTAAAAGTTTATGTCCTTAATGGCACGAAAAATGCATGAAGAGCCGGCCTCATGTCTTCTTTCTCTCTCTCTCTCTCTTATTATTTATTATCCATTTATGAGAAGTCCCACAAAGAAATTTATATGTAATACAATAAATGATTCTTCAATGAGCCTCCCACCAAGCATCATCATTAAAGGATTCTTAGTAACATCCTCCTTGGGTTTACAAGTTCATGAATCAAATTCTCATTGTATCTCCATATTCAATAAAATATTCATCTGATTTAACGATGTACATAATTATATCATGATACAACGTACATGTATGAATTTAAATTTATCAGTTTGGTCATGACGCCGCACATACATTTAATGTTCATAAAATGCATTTAATAGGTTCATAATTTTGGTCATGATAATTCATTCAAACATAAGAGATGTACATGATCATGATGAAGGCTAAGCCTTTCTTGCATCTTCAGCATATCCAGTGTCTCCGAACCTGTTAATTTGCTCCTGTTAGATAGATAGATAGCTTAGCGGACTGCATGTTCTAACATACACCAAACCTATCTCAGCAGCTGAACTATTTAATCCCTGCAATTAATTGCAATAACCAGGCTTGAAGTCTTATGGAATAGAAAACATATAAGACCTGTTCGTATGCCCATCACTCGATCGATTCATAAGCAGCAGCTGTCCATTTAATGTGGACAACACCTAATCCAGCGACAGAAACAGGCTGCTGAGAAGGCAAGAATAATGCAGCAGTCGATGACCAAATACCATCGAAGTTTGTGTGGGTAATAAACAATCCAGCCGACGAGCATTCATGACATTCTCAACGAGAAATTATAAAGCTTATCCACCCTTGTACAGCACTTAATTTGTCAGCACTGATATCATCTATCTCTATCTGCATGCATCATTCGATGTTGTGCCGTCCGGCGAGCTGTGATCTAAGAATCCGAGGAACAACCTCTCGGTGGATTTTAATATGTAATGTGCTCGTCACATCGACTTTACGGTGCCAAACTTTGACGACATTCTTATGAGGAGCGGACTTCTTCGCTAGCAAAAGGAAACAACTACAAGAGAATGCGTATGATTCTATGGAACTTAATGAACACATGATTTCCATTAAAGTAATGAGAATATTTCCTTGTTGTTTTGTTGACAACATCAACTGGCGAACCATTTTTTTTTCCTGATAATGTTAGAACATCATTGATTCAAAGATATAAGAACGAATGCATTCTTGTTTTAGTCAAAGAAAAAAAGAGATGAAAATTATCAAAGCCTCGTGGATGATCGAAATTTTGATTCGAGGAGAACCCAAGGATCCAACTCTGATTAGATTATTAATCCCAGGTTTTAAGGTTAATCATCCAATTATAATCTAAGCCATGTAAAGGGCTTATGTTAAGTTCATGCCACATGGATTATGCAGCATGATGACATGATGTACAGTGGACGACGAGTTCGATGGCATTCTCGTTATAAAGCAGAGGAAATGGTGGCATTTTGATAAGTTAAATTCATCCAATGGCTTTTTTCCCTTCTGTATCTAAAGAAAAAGATTAAACAAAACAGAAAAGTCGTTCACTTATAGAAAGATGAGGAGGGCGGTGACCGTATCGCTCCCCCTCTTCTTCCCATGGTAGTGTAGACTGCTCCAGACCTCTCTTTCGCCTGCTACCGGCTCCCAACTAATCCTCCGTCTCCTCTCGGAGATTGTCGCCGCTCACAAGGGTGCTCTGATCTGTCCCCGGAAGGCTGCTCGACGAGTGTTCACGACTTGGGTGGCGTGCGGGCGTAGCCAGAAGGCGGCGGGCCGAGAAAGCTAGCTCCCTTCGCTGAGGACCGGGAGGCGGAGCCAGTCGTGCTCGGTGATGCGGATGGGTGGCCGCCTGGTGCTTTGATGGAAGCGGCTTTTGGGATTCTTGGTGTCGATATATGGAGGTGAAGCCCTCGGTTCCCCGTGGGGTGTCGTCGGGGCCAGCATTTCCCTTGTCGGTCCTCCTTGCGGTCGTCTCTCTTGAGGTAGAGTCGTCTGATCCGTTGATCTCTGAGGTCTTGCAGTTTTGTGCCTTTTTGTGTTTCCGATGCGAGAGATCTGGGTGAAAGCGGTGAACATCGACGGCTTTGAGTTTGGTCGTTGGAATTTTTCCTTGCATTACCGCGTCTTCTGTGATCTGGGGCGATTTTGGTGGATTGCTCTCCTTTGGTTGTGGTTTAGGGTTTACTGTTCTTGTTCCGGCTTTCGTGGAAAAACATCTTCTTTGGGTAGTTCTAAGTTGTCTCTGATGATTATATCGTGGGTGATCTTTCTTTCCTCGTATTCTGGAGTTGATCGAACTTTTTGTGGTGGCGGAAGCCTTGATTCACTTTAAGTTGCTTGCGATGTTCATGAGTTTCTGATGAAAGCTTTGCAGTCGTCGTCATTTGTGGAGAACCAGGTTTCTACTTTTTCTGTGGGTTCCTCAGAATCGTGAAAAACCTGCAAAGTAATGTTCTTTTTGTTGATCTGGTGCAATTAGCGTGACTATTACTAAGTCTATTCAGGCTGGCAATCTCTTTGGCATGTTGATACCCTTGTTGATATCCATTTAACGCATGATGGTCATCTATTTTTTTTTCCCAATATCGTGAATTTTCAACTGTAGTTTGCCAGATTTAGGATTTTTACAATGTTGATTTGCTATACTTTTTTTGTAGATTGTTTTGCTTCTCGTGATCTTTGGAGGAACTGGTGCCAAACCTCAAGACAGTAAGCCGCCGTTTTGGCAAGATACCGAGGCTGGGGAAAATGTGGTTCATCTCACGCACTCTTGCATCCATGATGAGATACTCCATCGAAGGCGGCGCCCTGGTCGGAAAGAATACTCGGTCACTCCACAAGTTTATCACGAGTCTAGTTTGTCAAGATCACATCACCATGGTGGAAGAGCTTTGCTTGAGGTGTCTTCTGTATCTCCATTGCAAAAGGATACAAAACAGCCTATCCGTATATACTTAAACTATGATGCTGTTGGACATTCTTCTGATAGAGATTGCCGAAATGTTGGAGATCTTGTGAAGGTACTGTGTTTCAAGTATATTCCTCCGAACTTTGAATTTTTCGATCTTGTATTCTATTACGTGCACTGGTCTCTGATCATGGTAAGTATTTCAGCTTGGTGAACCACCCGCGACATCTATTTCGAGAACCCCTGTGTGCAACCCGCATGGAGATCGGCCAGTATTTGCAGATTGTTGGTACAACTGCACGGTGGAGGATATTTCTGGGGAGGATAAAAAGCAACGCCTTCGGAAGGTATCTGTTTTATGCTCATCTTCCATTGTGTTGGCATTTGCTTCGTTTGGTGATTATCTATTTATACTCATCTCATATTTTGATGGCACCAATTTTGGGAATTGGATATTGTCAAGTCTTGATGTCTTTCATTCTGTTCAATCTGGAACCTTTAATTTAATGCTGGCTGTTTGGTGAGGCTTATGAAAACCTAACTGAAAATGGCTCTTTTTTTTTTTATTTCCTGAAACTTAGATCCAAAACTTAGCTTTTTATTCATCACTCTTGTATTTGGGATCTCTGTTTAATTATTTTCATTCGTTACAAAAAAAACTTGAGCAGGCACTAGGGCAAACAGCAGAGTGGTTTAGAAGAGCTTTAGCTGTTGAACCTGTCAAGGGAAACCTGCGGTTAAGTGGATATTCTGCATGTGGACAGGATGGTGGAGTGCAACTCCCCCATGAATACATTGAAGGTACTTTCACTACAAGTTCTGCATGTGGTATTGCTTTACTGAAGTACCATGGCTTCAGTGTTTCTCCCCTTTTCTTTGTTATCACATAATGTGCGGATACCATGCAGATGGTGTTGCTGATTCGGACCTGGTTCTCTTAGTAACTACTAGACCCACAACTGGGAACACTCTTGCATGGGCAGTGGCATGCGAGCGAGATCAATGGGGTCGTGCAATTGCAGGTGTTTTTTATGTCAGGATTTTGTTAGCATTTACTGACAGACTATCTAGAGTCCTTTGACTATGATGTCTAATCTGATTAAATTTAACCTTACACAATTGGTAGGTCATGTAAATGTCGCACCTCGTCATTTAACGGCAGAAGCAGAAACATTGCTTTCAGCAACTTTGATACATGAGGTTGTCAAATGATCTACAAATAAAGGCTTTCAGTTATGCTTGGAAGCTGACGAGGATTTCTCTTTGTAGGTCATGCATGTTTTAGGTTTTGATCCTCATGCCTTTGCACACTTCCGTGATGAGAGAAAAAGAAGGCGAAGCCAGGTATCTGTTTGCACTGTAGTCTTTATATTTTGAAGAACTTTAATATCTTTTAGCTCATATGGCGAGTCATCATTTGTTTTGCCTGTGATCTTTAACAAACCATCCATTGTTTAGGTCACTGTACAAGTTATGGACGAGAAGCTTGGACGTATGGTAACACGCATCGTCCTGCCCCGAGTTGTTATGCGTGCTAGATACCATTATGGGGTAAGTTGGAGCAACAACATAATGGAAAAAAGAATCTTTCTTCATTCTCTGATGGGTGTATTCAGATCGGTTCAGTTCTGAAATTTGAGATTATGACTTCATTTAGGCTTCATGATTTTGCTTTTCTGTCAGGCATTTTCTGAAAATTTTACTGGCTTAGAGTTGGAAGATGGAGGAGGTCGTGGTACATCAGGTAACTTTTTTTGCTTAAGTAGCATTAAGTTAAAATGCCTCATCAAATGCACCATTAAGTTTCTCATTGTCGTCTCTAACTGTTGCATGATCTATGGCAGGTTCTCATTGGGAGAAAAGACTTCTAATGAATGAAATTATGACAGGATCTGTGGATACAAGATCTGTAGTTTCAAAAATGACTTTGGCTTTATTAGAGGATAGTGGATGGTACCAGGCTAATTATAGCATGGCGGATCGACTAGATTGGGGTCGGAATCAAGGAACTGAATTTGTTACATCTCCTTGCAATCATTGGAAAGGGGCATACCATTGCAACACCACTCAGTTGTCGGGCTGCACGTACAACAGGGAGGCAGAAGGGTATTGTCCTATAGTAAGCTATAATGGGGACTTGCCAAAATGGGCTCAATATTTCCCACAGGCAAATAAAGGTATAGTTGGATTCTTCTTATGATGTGAACTGTAAAGTTCAACTTTCCTTGTATGTTTTCGTTTCAAGATGAAAATCATGCCATCACATATCTTTGGTGCTCCTTAGTTTATAATGTTTTATAAAAATGTGTATTTGAGTTGGTATTGCTATGCTTGTTGTCCCATAAATGCTGTTTTTGTTTCTTTTTTTATTTTTACCTTAACAAAATTGTTTAATAGTGACCTCGGTGTTGAAATTTAAGCATTATGCACTATACAGAGGAAAACCCCCTTGTAATAGTTTGACGGCAGTAGAAAGTTGTATCGAAACCTGAGGCTACTTGTAAAAAAGAAAAAAAAAAGTGTGATCCCCTTTAGTAAATGGTCTAAAAAACATTCTATCGCAAGGATCTTTCTCATTCATTGATAAAACTTGTCAAGATTGATTGCTTCAACAAATTGACATGCTACAGGGAGAATTGGCACGCTAATCATCTCCATTTGATCAACTAAAATTGTATCTCACAGGGGGCCTTTTAGGGATGTTCCCTATATTGGTGCTATGGGCTGGCTTTAAGCCTCTCAGCAGCTTCCAGTTATTCCCAGTTTTCTGTCTTGATCCAAAATAGCTTGGTATCCTTTTTCTTGCTGGTTCTTTGTTTTTCTTTTTGAGTATCTCAACAGTGAATTTCCAAGCCTAGAGAGGCATAAAGAACTATAGCTTAGGAGATATCATAGGTGGCGAAATGAGAAAGATTAAGGTGCGCTGGGCTAGAGATTGGCTAAGAGGTTGTATGTATATGCATGGTTTGTCTTACTAGTCTATATCGATGTACCGATCAGCTGTCAATATGGTATGTACCAAGCCATACTGAGCCGTATTGAGCATACCAACACATGATACATGGAGACGTGCCGATGTACCACCCATATCGGTCTCTCATCGGACTGGTATATACCACCCATACCGAACGGTATGTTATGGTAAGGTGAACTTTGTGTATATGCGATTAGTACCAGTTGAAAGGCATCAAAAGCAAAGAAAGGTGCACTATTTAACTATGTGATCAACCTCAGGAGTTTGAAGTGAAATGATTAGCCCGCTTTTTTGGTGATAAAGCAGTTCAGATTGACAAGAAAGGCTCTGTGTTCCGTCCTTTGATTATAATTACGAAAAAAAATAGTTGCAAGGTTGTGTATGCATGATCCTGGAATGCAATGATAAGATTCTCATGTGACAATTTTTCTTATTAATGTCCTTTTTTTCTTGTTTGTTTGTTTTTTAAAGACGATTCACTTTGGTTCAAAATAGTATCTCATCATTTGATGAAATTTCCTTTTCTTTGTAAATGTAGGAAATGATTAATTCACTAGCCTTTGGCATATTTTCATGCAATTGCCCTGTCTTGATTGCAAATTTTATCTCTACTTCTAGGTCCAATTTGATGCATGGTGTGCCCAAAGTTGCCCTATTTGGATATTATAGTTCAATATCTGATTGTAACTTGAATGGTACTTTTGATAGCGTATGTAGTTTTCTGAATGATGCCTCTAATTCTTATATGTTTTAAAAATTCATTGTTATTACAGGGGGGCAATCATCATTGGCTGACTATTGCACATATTTTGTTGCTTATTCTGATGGTTCATGCACAGACACAAATAGTGCACGTGCACCTGATAGAGCATTAGGTGAGGTCCGAGGAAGTAATTCCAGGTGAGAATCAAATTCAGAATTTTGTTTAGTTGCTTAACTTATTTTCGTTATGAGAAAGAGCTGAGTGTACAAGACAAAAAGGAAAACCCATCTGTGCCTGAAGGAGTGCTAAAATAAATTTAGACTAAAAACTGAGTTGTTACTTAATCACCTTTTGATGTGCTACATGCTTGTTAGGTGCATGGCCTCATCATTGGTGCGAACAGGTTTTGTTAGGGGATCCATGACTCAGGGAAATGGTTGTTATCAACATAGGTGTATGAACAATACACTAGAGGTGAAGAACTTTTTGTCTTGCATATTCTTTCTGTTGTCTTCGTGCCAGTTAATAATACAGGTTTTTTGCTACTCCATAAACTTGATTCGTCTGATGATTAATATGAGACTTGTCAGTCTACCATCTGACAATTGGGATTATTATCTAGCCTTTGTATTTAGTAAGATGTTTTTTGCCTTGGTCAGTGACAGTAACTTTTGGATTTAAGATGCCTTCTGTTCTGAACAGAAGTATTTGGAATGGATTGGCTGAATTTGGTTTGGCATGTCTTCAACCTTTTTTTTTCTCTATGCTAGAACTATGATGAAATTTGCTGAAGAAACTCCTGTCTGACACAAACTTGTAATCATTGTTTGGCTTTGAAGATATCTAGCATGTGTCTGTAGATTTATGCTCATTTTTAACTAAGAAAGATCTTATAAGTTTATTTTATCTAGATTGCTGTGGATGGTATCTGGAGGATGTGTCCTGAAGCTGGTGGTCCTGTTCAATTCCCAGGATTCAATGGTTTGTCATTGTGCTAAAGCACCACATATTGGATTTTGAAGACTCACTTACATTCTTTACCTTGATACTGCAGGTGAGCTGATCTGCCCAGCATATCATGAATTGTGCAGCAGTACACCAGTGCCCATAAATGGCCGCTGTCCTGGCTCCTGTAGTTTCAATGGTGATTGCATTAATGGGGAGTGCCACTGCTTTCTTGGGTTTCATGGCAATGACTGCAGCAGAAGTGAGTTTACATGATTAAACCTTTTATAATTATCTTGTTGTCATGGGATTTATCAAAATTCCTGATCTCTAAACCTTCAGAGTTATGGTTGCCAATTTTAATCAGATGGTATTCTTCATGTTATACATGTCCTTTGTGAGTTCCATGCTTCAAAATGCTCAGTTGAACTGGAGCTAGAAAGAGTGATAACTTTGAAGTCTGTATTTCCTGTGCCTCACATTATAGCTGGTCATTCCTCTAAAATTTGGAGAACTCTCAAGATACTGTAAAAATATATGTTATATGGTGGGTCAGTGGGATGCGGCATCATATCTATTGTAAAATGTATATCAAGAAGCATATGATGCGGTATCAAGCATTAGTTTGATCCTTGGCATGATTCGTTATGAAGGATATATTCTTGGTCTTCTCATCCAATTACAAAGAAACTGGTTCTAAATTGTACCAGCTGCCTAATAATGGACCTGCTGATCTTTTACCTTATTCAGTATAGTGATGGCAATATATATATATATATATATATATATATATATATATATATATATAT